CTGTGTGAAGGTGCCAAATCCTTTGGAACTGGAATTAGAGTCAGTTGTGAGCTGCCATATGGGTGCTGGGAATTGAACCTGGGTCCTCTGGAAGTATTCTTAACCTCTGAACCATCTCTCTAGCCTTCACGTTCACCTCTTAACAGACATGAATTCTTGTCCAATATCTTAAACCTTCTCAGGCATGTTTTCCCATCTTTTAAATGGGCTTCTTAGTTACTACCCATTTTTCAGGATTGAGTGTGTGTGTGTGTGTGTGTGTGTGTGTGTGTGTGTGTTTTAAGATTTTTCTAGAATCTATAACCATTCTGGCAGTTCCTACTGCAAATGTTTCTCAGGGACAAAAATGCAGAACTGAGGGGCCCACATGAGGCTAAAGGTAAAAGCAGATTGTGGGTGACCAGGATGACTTTGCTAAAATATTTTCTGCCAGAACCCTGTGGGCCACAAGCCTGCTGGGCTAGGGGAAGCTGCTGAAGATCAGATATCCACATCCTCTGAGCTTACAGGCAATGTATGACTTGTCAACTGGTGTGGGTGCTAGCTGGCGAGAGGCAGACTATTAATATTTGGTCATGGTCAGGACGGGGGACAAGATGTTCACTGAGCTAGGCACTTTGGTCAGGTTGGGAGATGGGTGTAGCTCTCTGGTTCACCAGGTTGTGGTTTCTCATTGTTACATATATACTTGACTGTTTCAAGAGTGGTTTTAGACTTACAGCAAAATCACAGGAGAGGCAAAGAATTCCCATCATGCCACCCATCACCACATGTACATCTCCCATTGCTGGCATCTCACACCAAAGTGGAACATTTGTTATGACTGGTGAAGATCCACTGGTGCCATTGTGGCCTTCTCTGTGGTTTAACGTGAGAGTTCTTCCTTCACGTGCCTTCTATGAGACAGACAGGTAAAAGATCCTCGCCTACCACGATGGACTCACCATCAACATTTCCATATCCCAGCATCCTCTGAGATGTCAGTTTGTCCCTCCACCCTCTCCTCACACCACCAACTGCTGGTCTTAAAACTATCTCCAAACTTTCGCTTTTCCACACAGGATGTATGTAGATTCCTCGTTTACTTAAAAATATCCATTAAGCTGGGTATGAAGCCAGCTGTAATCTCAGCACTCAGGAGGCTAAGGCAGGTGGATCTCTGTGATTCTGGGGTCAGGTTGGCACACATGCTGAGACCCTGTCTCAAAGAAAAACAAAACCACTTAAGGTTTTTCCATGTATTCTATGGCTTGACAGATCCTCTCTCTCTCTCCCTCTCTCTCTCTCTCTCTCTCTCTCTCTCTCTCTCTCTGTGTGTGTGTGTGTGTGTGTGTGTGTGTGTTCATGTGTATGAGGATGGCACATGTGTGGGGGAGTATGCATGCACCAGTGTGCATGTACATATAGAGACTGGAGAACAGCCTTGGATCCTAACAATGGAGTATCATCTATCTCCTTTGAAACATTGACCTGGGACTCACCAAACAGGCTAGTCCCGCTGGCCAGTGAGGCCTAGGAATATCTACATATCCATTCATCTTGGCTGGTTCCACATTTTGGCAACCACAGGTGAGACCGCCATCAACCTCCATGAGCAGGTGGACGTGAGGCTGTTAGGCTGTCAAACTTCTTTGGGTAAACACCGAGGGGCACAGTCCCTTGATGGTGTGGTAAGCACATGTTTGGTTTTACAAGTGATTGCAAGACTGTCTCCTAAAACCGGCTGCCATGTTCAGAGTTCCCACATCCTCGCTGCAGCTTTCTCACCCTCTGGCCGGCTCTTGCTATACGAGTGGCTGTAGCGCCTTGGGCTCAGGAGCATCCGAAGGTCTCATTCCCAAGTCCCTGCCATGTTGCCTCAACCTTCCCTGCTTTATCTTCAAGCAAGGATCGTCTCCTCCACTCCTCCCATAGGCCAGTGACACACATGACACATGGATGAGGACTATTCCCAAGCTCTCACCATTGGCTCTTGAGTTTTAGAGGGTGACAAAGCTCTCTCGGGTTCCTTTTAAAAGAGCCCTAATCCCACTCATTGGTACTCTACATCTCAGCATTCGTACCTTCTCATACCAGCATCTTGGGGGTTAGAATTTGAGCATATGAACATTAAAGGATGCAAGCATTCAGTCCACTGCAGGTGTAAGTCTCTGGGGTCAAGGGTCATATGTCACTCCACTTCCCCGTTCAGATGCCCATCTCATAATCTTTCTTGTGAAAGCCTTGTACAAATTACAGCACACAAATAGATGCCTACCAGACCCAGCAGATCCTGAGGCCGGTAGGCCCACCACTTACTTACTGAATTACATGTCGATGTTTGTTTGTACTCCTGGCTAGGACTATGCTATTTAAGGACAAAACTAGGACTATGCTATTTGGGGACAAAGCACGTTCATCATCCTCTCAGTCCTAAAGCAGCATTGCCATCATCCCCTCTGGGTCCCCTCAGGCCTTGCCACTTCAGTATTCTCCCTCATCTCCCAGCTGCCAGGTCTGCATCTTTGCCTAAAGGCTTTCTGGCGTCTCCCTTGTGCAGATCTGACTGGAAATGCCAGGGACACTGAGCATAAGAAGTGGGAATAAGTGCTCCCAGATCCCTCTCTTTCTGAGTGAGATATGTTCCTCTCAGGTCCATCCAGTTCCCAGCAGGTTGAAATAGGGGTTGCTCAAGTCCTCTCTTTGTCTGTCTTCCCTTCCCATTGCTCTAGGGGTGCTTCCTGAAGATACCCCTCAAATAATTTCTGAATTCCTTCCAGATCAAGGAGAATTCAGATAGATCATTAGAACACCAGGGCCCAGAATACATAGATAAAGAGGGGTATACAAATACAGATAGACTTCTAGAACATATACACACGTTCTCTTCTCTGTCAGTCTTGTCCCAAGCTATAGCCACCTTTGAGCTCTGAGCCTTCTGCTCCCCTTTCTGCCTGCCCTGACCTAAGAGGAATGTCTTGTTTCTCCCCACATCCTCAAGACACCTCCTTTGTCCCTTCCTACAACAAATCTCCTTTGTTGTTGTTTGTGTGTGAATGTTACAGGTATACTTTTGTGTGGGTCTGTATGCATGTAACGTGTGGTGTGTGTGCACACACAAGTAGAGGTCTGGGGTAAACTTTGAATGTCTTTCTCATTCACTCGCCACTTGTTCTCAGAGACAAGATCTCTTGTTGTCTGGAGAGCTCATGGACTCAACTAGACTAGCCAGCCAGCTCCAGGGCCCTGCCTGTTTCTCTCTTGCTGCCCCAGTGCTGGGCTTGTGGGAGCACACCTCCACACCTGGCTTTTATAAGGGTGTCAGGGATATGAACTCAGGTGCTCATATTTGCACAGCAGCCACTTGACTGACTGAGCCACCTTCCCAGCCTCTATTATTTTGTCTTAAAGAAGTGGTTCTTTAGAGTTAATGACTGTTCAAATCTTTCCTGGTACTAGACTCCGTATAAATAAATAATCACAGCATGTGTTCTGCTTCTAAAATACTCGACTCCATATTTCTATCAACACAGCCAGCTCTGTCATTTCCCCTGATTCCTGGTCTAGGCAACTCCCCCTAAAGCCATACTCATGTGAGAAGGGACACCTTTTATGTCTAAGAGTAAGTCTCAGTACTAGGGTCTACCTTATTCTAGCACAAGCTGGATGGTTTTTATTTTGAGACAAGGCCCTGTAGCTTAGGCTGGCCTCACATTTAATGGCAGTCTTTCTTCCCCGGCTTCCCAAGTGCTGAAATGACAGGTGTAAGCCATCATGCCCAACTTTAGCATGATTGTTTTAGAAAAAGTCTTGGAAATTAAGAATATCCAGTCCTCACCAAAGACACACTCAATATCAGCACTGAGGACAGAGCTTGGAAGTACATTGGTGACCCCCATATGAGCCCCAGCTAATATCATCAATGCATAGTTACAACTTTCCTCACTTCTTTTGGACACTTCCTGCTTTATAATTTTATTTATGCATTTTTAGTGTGTGTGTGTGTGTGTGTGTGTGTGTGTGTAACCCTGTACATGTGCATCTGTAGGCACACATGTTGGAGTACAGACTAGTCTCTGGAATATGTTCTCTCCTGTTACCTTGTGGGACTGAGGACGGAGCATGTGGGATGGTCAGGCCCCTCCCTGCTGAGCCATCTCACTGGTCCCATTCCCTGCTTTAGATCAGCAGAGACCAAGTCCTTGATAGTTCTGTTGGATGCAGAGGCTAGGGGAAGCACAGCTGAGGATTTGGGGGGTGAACTGCAGTTTACAAGGATTCATACAGTTTACTTCTGTGTCATACCAGGTTGTCATCAATACTGGTTGCATCATATAGAAGCCCAGGCTAGCCCCATCTGTCATGCAAAACAACTTTCCACACTAAACAGTGGGGAAATGAGGGCTTTTCCCTCCTTGGTGGACCTTCCTGAGATACCAGATACTCTAGATGATGAATTCCTAGGATATCCAGGCCTTCTACATGAAAACTCTGGTTCGTATCAAGGTTTTAGGTAGACCAGCCAGGCTAAGGACCAGTTCCTGATCTGGACACTTTGTTGTCTTCTTTGTTCATTCCCTTGGGGACACCTAGTCCCAAGTTCTGTTTCTTCTCAGATTTTCCCCTCCATTCCTATTTCCCTCCTCCTTTTTGCCACTGTTTCCCTGCCCGCTTTTTCTGCTCTGCTGTGTCATGCCGCCGCCTCCTCTCACAGCTGTTGCATGTGCTAAGTGTGGGCCTCTTGCCTGGGAGCCAGTGCCAGAGGAGAACAGAGAGGGAGAGAGGTCCCCTAGAAGATGGAGCCTGTGTGCTTGCGAGCCTCAAGTCTGGACTTTATACCTGGATACTTTGCACCTGGCTCCTACATGCCATAGCCTCCCCAGTGGCCTTTGCAGGGAGTTTTCAGGACTAAGAGGACAGGCTGTTGCATCAGTCATGGAGCTTGGGGGTGTGCCAGCCTGGGGGATGAGGCATGTGGCTTTCAGGAACTCACTCTGGGGCTGTCTCTGTTGTTTCTGCAGGACTGCAATGTGCCGGTCCTAGCTGCTGTCTGAAAGGATGTCCGGGGTGTCTGAGCCCCTGAGCCGAGTAAAAGTGGGCACTTTACGCCGGCCCGAGGGCCCCCCGGAGCCCATGGTGGTGGTCCCAGTAGATGTGGAGAAGGAAGACGTGCGTATCCTCAAGGTCTGCTTCTATAGCAACAGCTTCAACCCAGGGAAGAACTTCAAGCTGGTCAAATGCACAGTGCAAACGGAGATCCAGGTTAGTGTGGAGAATGCTGTTTCCTTAGCTGATCTGACCCTCCTACTTCCTGGGCAGAGGAGCAGCGCTTCTTGAGCCCAGAAGCCTCTTCTAGCACTCTCTAGGCAAGGGGCAGATTGGCATCAGGAGAGGTGTTTTTAGCTTGCTGTACCAGCTGCCTCCAGCTGTACACACTCCATTTTTCTAGGCAGGATTACAACATACTGGCTGATTTTAACCTGCACTTACTGAACACTCACTATATGAATCCATATGGTCAGTCTCTCAACAAACATGATAATGAATTTTCCCATGGGTGGACACAATGAGGACATACGCATTCTCTTCCAGAACACTTCTTCATGATGATGGGAGGGGAAGAGAAGTTGGTCCTCAGAACATTCCCCCAGAGGGCTCATAATTTGAACAGAGGAATCTGGATAACTTGGGGAAGTCTCCCTAGGTCCAAGGGAACTAAAATGACTCTATGTCACCAGTTCTTCTAAAGTTTTAAAAGCCAACGTCCATGAACTTCACCTATGACTCCTTTTGTTAGTGCTGTGTGTGGTCCTGGCTGCCAAGTCACCATGCTGTGTCTCGCAGAGCACACAGGTTTCGCACACCAGGGCGGAAGGTATTGATGAGCATGCCGTCTCTTGCAGTTGCATTCTTGCTATGGTTTGGTGAACTTCTATTTCCTGTAGCTGATCTGGCTGGGGCCTTGATTGTTCATCACATGGTCTCTGATGAGAAAGTGTGTGTGCAGAGAGGAAGCCCCAGCCACCTTTCAGGAGGTGCATCTCCCTCCCTCTTCTGCTGACACTTGAGTCTCGCTTGTGTGTGCCATTTCTGTATACCGATGCTGTCCACTGCTAGCTCAACTCATTTATTTATCATCTAAAAAGTAACATGATTTCCAAGCTGCAGGGGTACTATACTGCCCAATCTTGATGACAAATGAAGAGTCTTCAGTTGTTCTGACTAGAATGCTCTCTGTGGTGACAGCAATGAGAGGGCACTGGAGGGCAGATGGGACTGAAGTAGTGGCGTCACTTTCCACAAGGAGAGAATGGTGGAGAATAGCTAGAAGGCTGTCCGAGGTATTATTTATAAGTTTCCAAAGGAAAGATGGCCACAATAACGGAAGGTGTAGAACACTCACATGGGGAATCTGGGGTTAGGCAGGAGCTAGGGAACAGCATAGAGTTGCGATTGATTTGGTTTCTAGGCAGGGACTCACTACATAGCCCAGGCTGGCTTCACACTCATTCTGTAGCTCAGACTAACCTTGAACTCACGATCCTGGTACCTCAGCCTCCCAAATGCTAATATTACACACGTACAGAATCCCACACATAGTTCTGAAAGCAGTGGAGATTTTCCTGGGGTAGTGTGATGTCTCTATGGTATTTGAGGGCCTATGGAAAGGGCAATGGACCCAAGTTCAAGAATGGCTATGAATGTCTGAGGAATTTTCTGGAGGGGATAATAGAGTGAGATAATAGAGTGAGGTACTGGAACTCTTGGTTGTAGGATGGGTAAGAAGTATCTAGCACATAGTAGGTCCCTGGAACTGGGACTGTTGGTTGTCTATTCTGTCATTACCCTGCACAGCTATCTCTGAGAGCTGCTAGTTTTCCAGAGGAAAAAAAACTTCCATTTTTTATTTATCTACTCATCTGTCTTCTTTTCAAATTGAGACAATGACTACATTTGTATTTTAAAACAGTACACAGTATGCTGCAGAGAGTATGCCCCAGGGCTGGGGGTGTGGCCTAAGAGCTTACTTACCTGGTATGTATAAGGTCCTGGTTTCTATCTCTAGCACTACAGGAGGGAGAGGAGAGGAGGAAGAGAGGAAGGGAGGGAGGGAGAAGAAAGAGGAAAGAGGGGATAGAACCAGAGGGAAGAAAAAGAAGGCAGACTTGGAGAAGAGATTTATGCTCATCGAAGCTTGGAAATGCTTGGTTAAACAACTCTGGAGACTGGATTGTGGCTCAGTGGTAGGGCATTGGCTTACAGCGGGAAGACCTTAGTTCTATCTTGAGAGCACATCCCCCTAGCCATACCCTGAAAATCATGAGCACACTCTTTTTGCAGCAAGACTTCTCAAAGTCCTCAGTGGGCTGTTTTGCCTGATGAATTACTAAGACAGGACCACAGTGATATTTTTCATTTGCCTAAAGGAATTATTCTTTTGTATGTAGAACCTGTTAATTCTCTGGCAAACCTAAGGCAGGTTTTCCCCCACCCCAACCCCTAAACTCTATAGCAGAGCAGAGGGACCGAGAGAGGAAGAGTGGTGGGGGATGGGTTGGGAGGTGGTATCTATAGTGGGAGGGAGATGTGGACTTGGACGAATGAATGGAGTGTTCTTGGGAACAGATAAGTCAATAGATTTGTGTCCATCAAGAAGGTGGAGTCAATAGAAACTTATCATTAATTAAATGTGGGGAGGGAACAAAAGGAAGGGGACAAAGATGACTCAGCCTTTGGCTTGGACAGCAGAATGGGTGCTGGCATCATTCGTTGGGACGAGAAAGGAAGTGCACCCTGAAATTTCACCTTCACACGCCTTGTGTTTGAAATATTTTTGAAACACCCCCATGAAGCAATGTAGGCCTGCAGCTCAGAAGGACAGGACATAGACAGAGGATTTGGATAATGTCATGCAATGGCTGTCATGCCAGAGAGCTGGGCCATCTATGAAGAATGAGTAGAGCAAGAGAAGGGTTCCAGTTAGGGCAGTCAGGGAAGCCAGATTTCATAGAGCTGAGAAAAAAAAAAGGGTAGTAAAAGAAAAGAGAAATCAACAGAGGCAGGGGACCCCAAGACAGGAGTGGTTAGCAGTGTGGGACAATGCTAAAGAGTCTTCAGAGGGGCTGCAGAGATCGCTCAGAGGTTAAGAGCACTAGCTGCTCTTCCTGAGGTCCTGAATTCAATTCCCAGCAACCACATGGTGGCTCACAAACATCTGTAATGAGATCTGGTGCCTTCTTCTGGCTTGCAGGCATACATGCCAGAACACTGCATACATAATAAATAAATCTTAAAAAAAAAAAAAAGAAAAGAAAAAACAAAGAAATAGAGAAAACCAGAAATAGACTCACTGTCTTTGGGACTAGATGTCATTGATGACATTTCTGGGCAGTTTCAGCACAGGAAGCCTTTGCTATGGGTTGACACATAGAGAGAGGATTAACCAATACAGTAGAGCATTTTTGACCAGGAAAGAGAAAAGGGAACATTGACATCATACAGCCCTAACTTGGGAAGGCACGTGGCAGGTTTGAGGTCATAGGTGTCCCCAGATTGACAATTAAAGTCAAGTTAATAACTTTGCTTTAATCTCACCTTGTGGGAAACATGGATATAGTGTAAAATCTTGAGTGATGTGAAATTGCCTTTTTAAAATGATGATATCGGTTAAAGGATGGAGATTAGAGGGGGGCAAGTATGGCTGTTGGTGGAGGTCTGTGGAGAGATGCTAACAGCATAGATTAGTATAGCCATGGATATGGTAATCTGATGATGGCACTAATGATGGAAGGAATGATGCCAATGGTGGTGGACTGGTAACCGTGGTGACAATGGTGACAGCGGTGACGGTGGTTATGATGGTGGTATTGCTATTGATGATGATGGCAGTAGTGATGATTGATGGTGATGATGGTGGTGATGATGGTGGTAGTGTTGGTGATGATGGGGTGGTGGTCTTGCTGATGCTGGTGGTGATGATGCTCGTGGTGGTGATGGTGATGATGTTAGCAGTGACGATGGTGATGATGGCAGTAGTAACAGTAGTAACCATAGCGATGACTATGATGTGATGGTGGTGGTGAAGTAATGATTGTGATGCTGTAAGCTGACATTTTTGTTGGATAGAAGCTAACCCCCACATTCATGTTCTCTCGCTGACTTCTCAAAAGGCCCCTCTGAAACACACACTGTTATTATCTCCAGTTTCTATTTAAGGAAACCCAGTGCAGAGGAGTTAAGCAAATTGTTAGCTAAGTGGTGGGTTTTGTTTTCAAACCCAGACAATCCACCTCCAGAGTGTACACTCTTAACCAGTGCAGTCTACGGAAAGAAGTGACTGCAGCTCAGAGAACAGAGGAGTTGGAGTGAAAGGCTCTGATGCTCAGAAATGCAAGAACACAGAGCAAGCGTGAAGAACTGCAGCCTGCCCCAGGTAGATGGGACTCTACTCCCAGTTTCTACAGGAAACTGGCTGGGCAGTGGTGCATCTGCCACTTGGTTTTTATCTCTTTGAGTATATTTGCGGTGCCTTCCTATTTTCAAGCGGCATCATTTGAAAACACCATTGGTAGGTGATTCTGGAGAGAGATTCTGTCTTGACAAAGAATTTGGACTGGACAGGCTGTGGATGGTGGCTGAATGAAACCCTGGTTATGGATGAGACCAAACAGAAAAGCATCCTGAATATTCTGTCCTACATCCCACAAATGTTGTTGTGTGCCTCCAGTGCCTGGCATGGGACACTGACATTTTCCAAACATGGGTGAATTCCCTGTTCTCATGGGGCTTCCTGACCAAGGCTATGATATTGACTCACACCCATGAATGAATCTTTAAAACACAATGCAAGTTCTCTGATAGAAAGAAACAGAACCTGGGCAAGCATGCGATGTAGAGGAGGGATTGATCCACATGCCAAGGACCAGCTTTGCTCAGTGCCTTTGGAGGACATAGTCCCCAGGGTGTATAGGGATGGGGCCCAGGCCCAGCATCCTTGCCTTAGATTCTCCTGAAGTTAGTAGCCTCTTCCTCCCCTGCTTCCTAACTCTGTATTGTCCTTCCCCACCGCTTGGGCGTCAGTGAATTTTTCTGTTTCACTCTATGTCCCTTTATCATCCTTCCAGTTCTCATAATGCTGCCAGCCCTTTCAGACTTGCCAAGCACATATTCCTCTGTAAGAATACTGCTGCATTGACAACCCTCTCTCTAGGCTGTGCGTGATGAAACGGAAGCAACAGAGACCTACCCCGGACAGCCCACAT